CAGGGGAGCGAGGGGGAAACTTGGGATGTCGACATTTTAATCGGCGATTCATCAATCGGACGGTGAGAATCGTGGCGGCGGAGGATGGAGATGGAAGAAGGAAGCAGGGGAAAGAATTTTGGGGGGTTTTTCGGAGCAGTGTGAAGTCAGATATTTTCTTTTTCTGAGAATAAATAATTGAGTCTTAGATATTTCTTTTGTTCAAAGATAGTTGCGTTTTGGTGGTACAGATATTATATGAAATATCTCGGCGTGCTCACTCGCGTTTAGAGCGCGTGGGAGTACAGCTTCATCGCTGCCTTTCATAGTTTTGGATGTTGGTTTTGGAAGCGTGACATGATTGACGATAATTTTCATGTCATTTTTCATATTTTTTCGGAGAAATGTCATTTTTCATTTCCACCAAACGGATTGGCTGACAATTTTCATTAGATATTTTGATGGATAAAAGTCATAAAGACATCGATTTTTCGTAAAGAGGTCATTAGTTCAAATTTCCACCCTCGTTTATTATACTTAAAAGAAAATAATAAAAATACTTTATATGAGTTATTTTATTTAGGATTGAAAATCACTTTCGAAGGTGCTCTAATTTCTGTAACGAATTTTTAATTTAGTTTAAATTTTTTATACAATAATTTAATATTTGTAATTTAAACTTTAGCGTTAATAAACTACAAAACCTAAGAACTCGTTTGATAATGATTTTTAGTTTTTGGTTTTTTGTTATTAGTTCTATATTTTTGAAAAACAAAACAAAACATGTTTGATAACCACTTTATGCTTTGAAAAAGTTAGAAAGTTGAAGAGATATGCTAAAAAGAGAATTATATGAAGAGTAGAGATGACAATAGTGTCGTACTAGAGTGAGGATGTCCTTTCACATCCTTGTCCTCATGAAAATTTAGTCTTTGTCTCCACTCTATTTTTTCGGTTCTAGAAATCGAGGTCTAGATCGAAGAATCCTCATTTGAGGACGGGGATATTTGTAGAAAATATTATCGGTTTAATAATTAATTTTAATTATTTTAGTATTAAAAAAATGTAACGAATATATATTAATTATCTTTACGATTATTATTTCTAGTATAAATAATAAGTTTTTAAAAATATTTAATGTTTTATTCATAATGTAGTAAAAATGTTAATAAAGTATATATTAATTAATTAAAATGGAATAAGGGACACTCCTGTGAATTTTTGTCATCCTAACAAATTTAGTGAGATAAAAATAAATTTTTTAAAGAGAAATTTTAGAGAAAGTAAAATTTAGCAAATTTAGCGAGACTAAACTATAGAAACATAAAGAAACAGATTTTAAAAAAAAGTTAGAGGAAAAAATTTTAGTGAGAGAAAAGTAAAGTTGAAAACAAAATATGACAAAGAAAGAAAAATTAGGAAGACAACAAAAAAATTATATCGAGAAAATATATTTTTTTTCTAGAGAAAGACAAATTATAAAAGGTGAAATTTGAGAGAGAAAAAAGTTTGGGAGAATATTAAATTTTGAGAGAGAGGGATGTGAGTGATATATTAGAACAAAAAGAAAAAAACATATAGATTAAAATTTTGGAGACTTGAGAGAAATAATAGTAAATATTGAAAAGATGAAAATTTTAGAGAGAGTGATAAATTTTTAAAGAGTGAAGTTTAGGAAGTAAAAAAATGTAGGGCGAACAAGAAATTTATTAAAGAGAAATATGTAAAAAAAAAAGTTGAGCATTAAAAGAAAAAAGAAAAAGATTTCAAAAGTTGAAATGATTTAAATTTTTTTTTTTTAAAATTGAATTGGTTATGAAACAGTTTTTTCAAAAATAAAAAATAAAAAACAGACGAAATGATATTCAATGGAAATATAGGGACAAAATGTGCTTTTTAACATTTATTTATTTGTATAATATGCATAAATAATTGTTGGGTTATTCCAACTTACAATAACAACACTAATCCATCGAGAAAATATATAATAATTAAGTAGAAAAAACCGGAATAAAAAGTGTTTGCAGAGAAACAAAAAGAGGGTGAGAGACCAAAAAATAGAAAAAAAAAGAGAGTAAATTAGTTGAAACTGAAAGAGCTGATACCAAGCTCAATGAATAAAAAATGATTTCGCCTTATTTAAATTAGGTTTGAACTTGAAAATAAAAAAATGTTAGAAATTAAAAGTATTAAAAAAGTAACGGAACCAACCAATAAACCATCTAAAATTTGGGCCCAAATTCCAGCACTTAATTTATGCTCAATTGGTTACACAAATTAATAATTTTTCGAGTTCTTCATTCACATATTACAATATTTATTAAGAGAAAAAATTGTTTCCAAATGTTAAAAGGAACAAGAAGGAGAAGTTTGTGAGGAGAGAAAATAATGTTGAGGCCCATGGGCCTTGGGCTGGCCTAAAATCTTGTTTTCTGTTATTTTCCCAATTAAGTGCTCGAATTTGGGCCTAAAATATTGTTTTCTGAATAAAAGTTTATCTTAGATTTGAAGATAATGGCAGAAAATAGGTATGACTTTGAGGACCATCCACGAACAAGTTATTTTTACATATTTGAATGGTTGTAGAAACTATAATTGCAAAATTTTAATATTTACACCGACAAAAATATTTTGGCATAAGATAGAAAATTTGTGCCTAAGAAATCTTGAATTTAAGAAAACATAGAAGGAAAAATCATCCAAACAAAACAACTACATTATTTTTCTTTCATTTGAGATAGTTTGGTAGAGGTGTTCAAAATAGATTATTTAAGTTTGACGATTTTTAGTTCATATGATATAGTCAAATGCAAAGATGAATTAATATTGAGTTAAAAAATTGTAGGCATGTTAATAAATTATACGTAGGAAGCTACGTTTTGATTGACAAGTATTGTATAATTAGATCGTTTATTTTGGTCATTTAAAATATGAAGCAAATTTTAACTTCTATCCAATTGTTAAATAATAAAATAATAACAAATATTAATTACCTCCTTTCCTAGCATAGGACTAATTTAGTCACTTCAAACATAACAGCCAACAAATTTACTTTATGTAAATAGGCATTTAGAAAGGAAAAGAAATATTGAAGAAAACAATAGATCAAAAGTATTTTGAATCTCAT